TACTTAAGTTACGATGCTTTTGGGAAACAGACCGTAATATTAAGATCAGTCGTACGATAGTTTTTACGAACTTCTTAAGGCGGGCGTACACGGTGCGATTTTTGCTGTCGTACGAGCTCGCAGGCTTTTTTTTTCTCTCGGGAGAAAATCGCAGATGCTCGCATGGTCGCGGCTCATACAGTTTGAGAAGAATTACGGGCGATCAGAGACGTTACGAGCATCTCCCGTCCTCCCGATTATTTTCAAATATGTAAAAAAAAATCGGATGCTGTCGGTTTAAATTTGTGGAGTATATGCGGTTGAACGAGACGATTTGGCGATCCATCTGAAGTTGACCAATCAGAAGATGACAAAAACCATATAGTCTATAATAATTTTTGTTTAATTATACAGTTCTATTTTTTATTTGTTATTCCGAATGTGCCAAATTTGCCGTTCAGCTTTATGAATGAATATGCCTGTTGTATTTCCGGCAAAACGAGCAGAAATTCAGAAATGGCCAACTCCCTCAAGTTCTTTATGAAGAACAGAAAGTCCATGCTTTTCTGTAAAATACACGTTTTTCGGCGGGGATCTTCCAGTAAAATCCACATTCCAGGGACTAAATATCACATTATTGGGGTCGCTTCAACCCGCGGACATGAACAACAACCCGCGGCAACAGTGTTAAGTAGCTCAATTCCGCGGGAAAACCGCGGACTTGGCAACACTATTTATGAACCGACCGCGCTATAGTGTTTCCTTGGTTACCGCTGTAAACAAAGCAGAGCTGCTCTTTGTACGGAGAAGAAAATGCCATTGTCATCGAAACTTTTCTCAAGACAGTTCCCTTCAGTGATACATTAATATAACCCCAGAAATGTAATGCATTTTTGTACTAATTTTACAGTTTTTTTCGGGATCTACTGGGACAGTGATAAAGATCTACCAGTCGATCGCGATCGACGGGATGGCGACCACTGTTCTAGGCATAGGCAAACTAGGCGGTCGCATAGGGCGCCACCAGCTGGAGGGGGCGCCAATGAGCGCACACACTGGCACTATATTTATCAGGGTTGTGATAAAGAGTGGCACGGCCACCCTGTAATATGATTGCGGCCCCTACTGGATCCCCCAACATCATTGGGCTAGACTCGCTAGAGTACTGTCCATCTGACCATGCCTGTATGCACATTGGATCAGAGCAGTGTCAATTGTTTCCTGATTGTTGCATGCAAAGTTTGCATTTGGAGCGCTCAAAACACCATTAGATCAATGGGTTCTGTCAGTGCTTTGGCAAGGTAACATGTTTTTTTTTTTTTTTTTGCCATGCAATAAAGCTAAGTTCAAAGGCCACTTTAAAATATTGGTACAGTAAAAAGTGCACAAAATCAGTATTTTGTTTAGACGGTATTTGTGGCAGTCGAGAAATCATGTTGCGAAATTGTTCCAAAAGGTGTGCGTTTTTGCACCAATGCATTGTTAAAGGATCAGTGTGTCATGTAATATTCCCATATAAAACTTTAACAGCCAATTAAAAAATATTGGTAAAGTAAAATTCTGTAATTCACGAGATCAATACATCCTTTATTAAACTGCTTTGTCGAATTAAAGCATCCTTACGGAAGTGTCGAAATGCTGAATCAATTCATTCACTTCTATCAGTGCTTAAAGGGAGCAACATCATACACACAGAGGGCAGAGCGTCACGTTATTTATAGGGGAAGTTCACGTGTCAATGAGTAACAAAGAAATACTGTAAATAGCTGCATTCTGATTACTTTTATGCCACTGGATCATGCTTTTATATAGCAAAATGAGTCACAATGAGCACATTTTCAAAAATATAATGTTTTTACATTCTCCATTAAAAGACCTTCAAAATGATGTATAATTTGTTGGAATTGGACGAAAAATGACTGAGCTACACCTGTTTGAAGTCGATCGAGTCAGCAAAGTAAATCTAGAGAAAAACTGATTTAAAGTTTTCTGAAGGTTCCAAAGCTAAATCACCTAGCAACATTACATCTTTCCCCCACTTATTTTCTTAATCACTACTAGATTAATATTAGCTATTTTTTATATTTATTGTTATAAATAATAACTGATGCAAAAAAGAACAAATATAACAAAGAAAAAGTGTAGTGTAATAATTTTTAATTTTACATCTAAACATAAGCATTCAAGTAAGAAAAACAAACAGTAAAATGTAAAAATCACTTAAGTGTGTTCATTACAAATAAATTGATTATTAAAGCTACAAAAGCAGTTCAATCAGGGGCAGTGGGTGATTCCCTCTTTTCTTTTATCGTGTGATTAACATTAATGCGACAGACGGCCAGTATTAACATAGTATACTGCACGGATCTAATATAATGTTATACATCCAATGTTTTTCCACAACAGTTTCCCAATTGTTCACTTAAGATATAAGAGATTATATTTGCGTATAATACTTAAATATATTTACCCTACTGTAAACCTGTGTATAGCCAATGTATTGGGATAGAGCTCCGTCGGTGTCGTCTTTATGCGTGCGCTTCGGAAGACAGTCAGTGCGAGGAAGCGAATGGAGAATAGGTACTCCTCTCAGAAAACATACAAGTAAAGATACTTTACTCTATTTGGAGCATTGGGATCGCTAGTTGAGGGCTTAATTAACTCATTTTTGTGAAAACCTCAAATTGCTCTTTATCAAAAATAAATAGCTGTTGCTATTTAAGATTTGAGTGTTTACATAATCAGTTTTATGTTATTTTGTGTTGGATGGGGGGCGCCAATAGGGATTTTGCCTAGGGCGTCAAAATGGCTAGAAACGGCCCTGGTGTCCGGATCACTCTATTGAGTTTACTTTGTCATAATGACAATCTAAATGTACAGCATCCCTCAAAATTTAAACAAACAAAAACTCATCCTGTCCTGGTATTAAAGCTCCAGCCGTGTGGTGTTCTTTCAAAAGTTGCATGGTATGAATTCATTTGACAAATTAAACTTTAAGAATGAAAAATCCTGACATAAAGAGACTAGTTCAAAAAAATCAATTAAATTAAAAATCACTCTTGCATTATTCTCTTTTGTAATGGTTTAAATCCAAAAGCTATGATCATAAGAGTTTCCAGATACAAAATGTTTCTTTGTGAAATGTATAAATGCTTTAGTTTACAGACATGACAGTGGTTTTTATCACTGCTCAGTTACAAGCACAAAATCTTGTATATGAGTTCAAAGCGTAAAATAAATGTCAGAATTGACTGGTAACAGACAATAATATACAAGTGGAAGGAAAACTGGTCCAGAAAGTGCACATGTGTGCAGCTGAAGTTTATCTAGCCGTGGGGACAGACTGGCGTTTGAATCAACTAGTGGCAGCAAAACGGCTAATGATCGAGCAAGTTCCTACAGACTGTATAAGGAAAGGTTTTTATTCTGTTCTAAGAAATAAACATGATACTGAAAACTGAAAGACTATAAAGGTTGATGCTTATTATATATATAGTATTTGTTCAAGCTGTCAAACTACAAAAAGACAATTTATCTTGTAATCTGTTGTGTTTGACCATTGAAAATGTTTGAATGTTTAATTTTTGGTTGAATTTCATGAAAATGTATAAGAATTGATTTAAAGAGTATATTTGCTATTATAAGAGTATGTAGTGATTTTGTAGTGATTTTACTAGTATAAGAGTTAGTGATTTTGAACAGCTCACCAAAACATCTGGGCGACACTGATGGATGACAGATAGCATATATTCACAGAAAACAATGGTTTTAAATTTTAAGACACTGCATATCATCTGCCTGCTAGATCTGGTGTGTGACCCTCTTTAGTGTTGCTGCTCCTAAGAAAACTGATTCAGAATAATGGATTATTTTAGTTGAGAGAAAAAGCTTATTAAAAGATTTTAGAGTTTGGAAACGCACTGTCAAATAAAAAGAATTACACACAATAGTTTTAAAACATGCACAAATTACAATGTTTTTATCCAACATCAAATTAAAGTTAAATAGTATTAAATACAGACCTTAATTGAGAGATGTAGGGCAGACACTGGAGGAATCCCTTCACTTCACTCTCTTCATCTGTCCAGTCTCTCAGCTCTACTGGTTTCTTCTCTGTTTGGAGTTTCAGCACGTCTAGGAGGACGGAGCTCTTTCTCTCTGAGAGCTTTATTCTCCAGACTGCAGGAGCTGACTGATAAATTGGCTGTAATGCTGGAAGGACACTCCTGCCTGTTTGAGTCTCATAGTCCTTCACATGTGACCACAGATCCAGCAGGAAATCACATTTCTTATAATCCACAGATGATAGCAGTTTCTTCACAGTTTCTTCTATTGTCTCTTTCTGATGGAGCGCAGCTTGCAGACACAAATCCAGTATGAATAATCTCTTTCTTTTGTCCCATGATCCAGCTGTTTTATTGTGTGGTACAGCAAATCTAAAGAGTGAACAAGATTCTGTTAGAGATGTGTTATTGTGTTATACATTTTATTGTGCAACAGCTGGGCTCCAGAAGTAAAAAATCAATTCCTTTTCTTCACAAGGAAATTGACTTTTAACACTTACTTATAAGGCTATAAAGACAGATCAACCATGAACTAAATTAGGCTCATCAGCACCCTCCTACTTCCACTCACTCTTACGAATCTACATCCCCTTCAGAAGCCCGAGATCTACAAGTGAGTGACGCCTTGTACCATCACAGAGAGGCACAAAATCACTTTCCAGAACATTTTCATTCACCGTTCCTGGCTGGTTTCAAGCGACAGCTGAAAACTCACCTCTTTCGTCAACATTTGACTGCATCATAAAAAAAGGAGAAAAAAAACCCTTTGCTCTCTCTTTCCTTAAATCCCCCATGACTAGTCCTTGTACTAATCTGAACAATGTCTGAAACTTTGTATTACGAGCACTTCCTGTATTTATTTGCCTCTTTATGATGAATCGGTTGTTGTATTTCTCAATTGTATGTCGCTTTGGATAAAAGCATCTGCTAAATGAATAAATGTAAATGTAAGAACATTAAAACATTGTAATGTTTACAAACTTTTGACAGGAACTATAACATTGTTACCTAGTGCTTATATTGCTTAAATACCATTGATTAGATGGATTTGTGGCCCAAGATGCTGGGATAGGCTTCAGCCCCCACGACCCTATAGAGGATAAGTGGTTTGGAGAGTGAATGGATGGATGGATGAACTTGCAAGATAGCACTCTGACTTGCTTTGATTTTGTTTCTCTTCTTACTGCTGTTCAGCTTAGAATATATATTTTCATTATCTTTGCTTGTCATTTTGCATCTTTATACCTGTGCTAAAACTATGAAAATTGAGAAACTAATGGAAGTGTCTCTTTTTTTGTTACAGGATCCTATGTACCCAGCCTCAACCATTCATCAGAAGGACTGTAAAAGCAGCAACTCTTTGAACCACCAGTGGCAGTTTCCACAGGATGAAAAAAGGGCAAAGTCACAGTGATCATCAAGGTATGATGTATACTGCATTGATGTATACTGTAAATGCAATAAACAGTTTAATCATTTATGTTGTTAAGTCTTGTTACTTCTGGATTTTCTTTTTCTTTTCAAAATTATTTTATGAACAAACCTATTAGGCATGGCAAGGCAAGTTTATTTATATAGCACATTTCATACACAATGGTAATTCAAAGTGCTTTACATTAAAAAAAAATAATAAAAAATAATAAATCACAACAATAAAACAAGGAATTTAAAAACTTTGAAAATGATAAAAAAAAATTGATTTAAGAGGTTTAAATGAATTTAAAACAGTTAAGAATAGAAAATGATTATACATAAAATACAGTGCAATCAGTTCGGACATCGCACAGTGCTCATTCAATAAATGCACAGCTAAACAGATGAGTTTTGAGTCTGCATTTAAATGTGACTAATGTTTTAGCACATCTGATCTCTTCTGGAAGCTGATTCCAACTGCGGGCGGCATAATAACTAAAAGCAAACTCCCCTTGTTTTGTGTGAACCCTTGGTATTTCTGAAGATATTGATCTGGAAGAAATGGGGCCATAAAGAACCTTTTCATCAGTGGTTCTTTGTAGAACCTTTAAAAAGGTTTCTTTGTAGTACCAGAAATTGTTCTTTATGGCACCAAGAAAGAAATGGTTCTTTAAAGAACCTTTCACAAAATGGTTCTTCAGGGAACCAAAACTGGTTCTTCTACAGCATCGCCGTGAAACCCCCTTTTTTGGTTCGTCCTGTCACCTTTTTTTTTTAAAGAGTGTACATTAGGCAGTAAGTAAACCGTTTTTAAGTTTCATGTGTTGGAAGTAGAATAAAACGGGCAATCGAAAAGATATGAGTGACTTTGACAAGGGACAAATGGTGACAGCTAGACAACTGGGTCAGAGCAGGATGCACTATGGGAAGAAGGCAGGGTGGTGAAGGTATACATTTGAAAAGCAAGTCACGTAAAGATTGCTTTCAGTTTATGATGTTAATACTATCTCCAACCAGGAGAGGTCGCTAGTTTCCAGCCGCTCCCCTATTAATTTCAGCATAGGACGTGCACTCTAACGTAAAAATTCATTAACATTAGCAAATAATAAATGAAAACAGACCATGAAAACAGTATTTTCAAGTCAAGATGGTAAACAGATTATCTTTTTACCAAGTTCAAGGGGATACCCATATGTTTGGATTGTTTGGAAATCTGTATTTTATTTAAATCGCCATCACACCACTGCTCACAAACAACGGGGACGCCAGAGTTGCACTTGCCTCAAATTTCAAAGGTAAAATTCATAGTCAACAAAAGCTTTTTGCATGACAGAAATGTTTGCACTGGACTATGTTCTTATTAGCGTTTCCACGGGTCCTTAAAACGTCTTCAGTTAAATTGTTTACATTTAAGGCCATGCAAACTCTTAAATGGTACAAAAAGTCTAAATTATAAGAGGTCTTTGGGGACGGAAAGACAAGAATTGCTATATGGATTAATATGACGATTAAACTTCAAAAGGCT